CATTTACAGCATAACTCAAGGCTAGAAGGGTTATCTGTGACCAAAAGACCTTCGAGTTCGACTCCGCTCAGCTCCAAGGCACATCATTTGCAGCATAGCTTAAGTCGAGAAGGGCTATCTGCTAAAGACCTTCGAGTTCGATTATATTCAACTTAGAGGCAAATCAAGCTTACAGAATAGCTCAATGCAAGAAGGGCTATCTGTCAATAAAACTGTCGAGTTCGATTCTAATCAGAATCACACTACTGTCCGGCTGTAATCGAGATTTTCAAGTCCAGAAGAAGACCTGGGTTAACTGTGCCTCAGTGATAAAAAATCGTTTTCCAGCAACATAGCTTAAGTCGAGAAAAGCTATTTGTCAACAAAGACTTTTCGAGTTCGATTTTATTCAGCTCGAGGGCTTGTCAAGCCAGATGGTGAAGTCAAAGAAATATTTTCCAGCCGAATTTTTAACCAAGGTCCTTAAACTGAGGAAAAGACCGAGGTTGACTACAATTGGGCAACAAGAAGTCGCATTCCGATTCAATTCCATATCATTTCAAGATTGACTTGACTTCACGACGGAGGGGTCATCCGCAGCTCAATCCGACAGGGGGTTTTTCTTCAACCCCACTGAACGAAAATTTGTGTCTTTTTATCTTTGTCCTATTTTTCGTTCCACGAAAAAGGACAAAGAGGGGCAGCTGTAGACACTAATTTCCGTCCATATTTTTTATTTTATACATATATACCTATACATATTATATGGTTTGCAAACGGTTTTTGAAAATATATATATAATATATAGTTTTTAAAAAGAAAACATTTTGAAAATATGGGTAATATATAGTTTTTTAAAATATTTTTGAAAACTATATAACATATAGTTTTTAAAACATTTTAGAAAATATATATAACATATAATTTTAAAATCATTTTAAAAACTTATATAATATATAGTTTTAAAAACATTTTTAAATAAATTATATAATATATAGCTTTAAAAACGTTTTTTAAAACTTATATAATATTTTTAAAACATTTTGAAAACTATATAATATAGTTTTGAAAACTTTTTTAAATATAATATATAGTTTAAAAAAATATTTTTGAAATATATGTATTATATAATTTATATTATATCAGTATTATTATTATTTATCTTCTTTTTATTATTTTCTTTTTATGTTTTTTTTCAGGGTCCAAACAGTCTAATAAGTCTCGAGGGCCTGATCCAGCCTAAAGTTCAAAGTTAGGGTTTCAGCATAGGTTAAGGCACCGCACGAATGAACGGCAAAAAAGGGAAAGGGCACAGGTCAATCTGGACCGTTGGATCTGACCCAATCCAACGGCCAGAAAGCAAGTCAACATCCAGAAGCAATTTCAACGGCCAGAAGCATCAGTCGTCACCGGAAATGAAACCGGTCAAACATGCAACAAACACGTTCCATAACAGAACGCAAATCTCGCAAGAATCGAGTCACAACAGCTCAGTCTCCCACAGGCCGAAAATCGCGCCACCACACGGGACTGACCCATCCCGTGAAGTTCGGTAACGCTCACCGGCCGAGAGAGTATAAATACCCCCAGACAGAACGGGACAGGAGGAGCCACGCAAATCTCAGAAGCATAAACATAGTAAACCAAATAACCAAAACAAGATCAACGAGAAACCCAAGCGAAACACAAAGCCAAACATAATCGCAACCATCAACCAAGAGCAAAAGCATAACAATAAACACAAAAAACCCATCGAAAACAAGTGAAGCCGAAGCCAACAGTATCCAAAGGCGAAGGCTCGGAGTGCATCTCGCCGAAGAAACCACCGGGAAAGTGAAAGGCCATCAAAGGTAACATTTTCTGGGTAAGAGGTTGTAAGGTTTTTTGTGTGTGGTTGATGTTTGTATCAGAAAGGAGAGAAAAGGAGGAGGAGAGAACGGCCAGATTAGGGAAATGAGGGAGAGTGTTAGCCAAAATCGCATATAAGGGGTATATAAACCCCCCAAAACGACGCCGTTTAGGTGAGTCTAGGGCATCTCTCGGGTCAACGCATGGGTAAACCGTGTAGAGGGGGCCTTACTTTGTATACGTTTCATCTTGGCCACTTAAAGGAAATCATATTTTACGTTTCAGTCCTATTTCACTTAAGGGAGATCTTTTTGTGTTCCAATTCGACCTTCTATTGCCATTTTATTCCTATTTAGTCACTTCTACATATTTTATAACTATTATTATTATTATTATTATTTCTATTTCATTATTATTTTCTGTTTTTATCATTTTTTTCGGGATTTATATACATACTTATATATATATACATGTATAGTTGTTTTTTTTCTTTTTGATTTATTGTTTAATTGATTTTGTATATAGTTTCTATTTATTTATTACAACTATCTTATTTTTTTATGTTTTCTATATATATATATATATATATATATGTATATATTATTATTTTCGCCCTATTATAAATTTTTTTTTTCTTTTCTTTCGACTTTTTTTTTGATTCATTTAATATTTATTTATTGTTATTTTTCCCCCTAACGTTTTTGATTTTTTAGAAGAATTTCAACAAATCAGAGGTAAACAATTCGAATTGAATATTTTAAATTTTAATTTAATTTTTTATTTTCGCGATTAAGACAACCGACGAATTAATTGGTACCGAAAGGGAGGTTCAAGGGTGCTAATCCTTCCTTGACCGTAACCGACTCCCGAGCCCGACACATTTCTGGTACAACGCAGATCAGGTAAGATGGTGTCCGACCCACCTAAATTCGTTTTAAAGTGGTCGGTGGCGACTCTAACCCAATTAATCTAAGTCGAAGCCCAATTCCGGGGCCCAACCGAAAGACGGTTACGACAATATATACATAGGAAGTGCAAGAAACGAATAACTAGAATTACAAAATTAGATAAACAGGAAGAGAGTTGAAACCAAAAGAGAGAAATTAATATTAAAATAAAAATTAACAATTAAAAGAAGAAAATTGCAATAGTTTTACAAAAGACTGTAGATTTGAAACGATTGGCTTGTCGAAAGGGTTGGCTTGTCTTCCAGCAAACAGAGATTATCAGCCATGGAGATAGAACAAAAGAAGAAGATAAGAACAGAAGGAAAATGAAAACAATGAAAGAAATTTTGAATATTTATATAAATTTAAAACCACGTCGTTTTGATAGAATTTTATTTTTTCAAAAATAACGTAGTTTTCCTATTATGCCATGTGCTATTAATTATTTAGACTTAAATATACAAAAAGGAGCTTTTTATGTTCGTTTTTTCAGTTTATTGTCTAGCGTTTATTTCGTTTTAGTTTTGTGTTTAAAGTTTTATTTCGTTACTCAAAGTGGGTCAAGCCGTGATAGACCGTTAGTTTTTTCCGCATGTGTTACAATATGATAATTTTAAAAAATTATATAAAATTAAAAAATTATATATTTTTTAAAAAAGAAAACCCATAAATTTCAAAATGACCCCAAAACTTTGAAAACATTCATTTTAACCCATAAACCCACACTGATCGTCGTCCTTTACCGACGACGAAGCTCCACCCGACCTCACCTTCCCTCGGTGACCTATGAAATCGTGACTGATCAACAGTCGATTGACGGCAAATCGACGTTTGATACCCCGCGAACCCTAGGATGAAAATCGCAATCATAAGCGATTTTGACGGCCAATCGAAGACAACTATGACGACTTATAACTAGGATGATGACAAGGATTACGTCGGCGGCGGCGATCGTGGTCGAAAAGGGAGGCGGCGATAGGTTAGTGTTAGGATTTGGGGATTTTAGGGATTTTTTGTAATTTAAGAGAAATAAGGGTTTTTTTTATAAATATAATAAAATTTTTAATATTTCTTTTTAAAAAAAATCAAAATTACAAGATTATGATACGTGTCACTTAACGGAGAAAATTAACTATCCGTCACGGATTGACCCATTTTGGAATGAAACGTTAGGCACCAAACCATAATGAAATAAACGTTAGGTGCTAAACTAAAAAAAAGGCATAGATTGGGCACATTTCGTATATTTAAGCCAATTATTTAATGGTTGAGTGACTAAAATAGAAACAACTTCAAAGTTCTGTTGGATTGAATGAAGTCAAGCTTGACTTGAATTTAATATCGAACCTGAAAGGCTTATGAATAACTAAAAAAATCATATTTTAATTTATTTAAATTAAATTATTAATAATATTAAAATTTATATGTTGATATCTTTTAAAAGTACATTATAAAATTTTCATTTATCTAAAGTTTAAGTTCGAGTTGGAACTAAATTCGAATTGGAGCTTGAATAAAACTCAAGTTAAAATAAATTTTGAGTTCAAATTTCAATCAAGCTAAATTTCAAAATATTCCAAGAATTTCAAATTTTTATTTAATTTTCAAATCGAATTTGATAATTTAAAGCTAAGTCAAATTCAATTTTTAATTTTTAGAGTCAAGTTCAAACATAATAATATTCGAGCTCCTCTTTTTTGAGACATTAGGTTGATTCAGGGTCGTGACAGGATTTTCAGGGGCCCTGTACAAATTCTTATAAAAGGACCCTTATTTTCTAGATATATTCGATTTCGGGGCAACAATATTGACATTTTCTTGACAAACACCGCGATAGATCCATCTATAATGATGTTTTATCAATAAAGCCGCAATAATAGTGACGTTTTTTAAAAAAACGTCGCAATAGATCCATCTATAGTGACGTTTATTGAAAAAACACCACTATATATATACTTTTTTGGGACCCCATTTTTTGGGGGCCTTGCGCGGTCGCGCAGTTCGCGCCGCCCCAGCCACGGCCCTGGGTTGAACAACTTTTGTTAAGATTAATGGTAGAGCCTGTACTTCAGCTTCTCTGTTTGCATTATGAAATAGAAAAGGCACTATATTAATTACAAGTATTTCTATAAACTACAATACAAGAAAATGACTAATGGCAATAATCAACTAGATTTGGAAACTAAAACCTAACCAATATGTAATTTACAGCGCTCTCTAACTGGCAACAGCAAGAGTTTTGTAGTAAAATGCTCATTTAAATGCTATGTTGGCAGTAATTCCACTTCCATTGGGTACCAATTTCTTCATGTAGTACTTGGATTTACGAGATAGATTAATCCTCTTCCTCCTTTCCTCGGGTATCATGTCGATGCTACATTCCGTAAACCCTCGCCTTACGAACCTGTTAAATGTTAGAACCATGAGTATTCACCCTCCTGGCCTGCCTGCTGCCATGGCCATAACCCTCTCTTTCTTATAAGCCTCAAATGATTCAATGCTTGGAATAAAAATGAGAAATATACAAACCAATCAGCAGTTCGAGTTGTTAGAAGGAAAAGCATATCCAATCCGAGGGAGGACGCCTTCTTTTCAATGTAATCTGCGTAAATTTGATTCACTATTTGGAATGATATTTGTTGGTCGATTACAAAAAATATCCAGTTTTTATATCACATTAAAGAGATTCCTATTAAAACAAAATTCATAATCTGATGGACATTCTATGATTAGAGAATATTCAATATCATACCAAGCAATTTATCTCCCTGTCCTTGTCCTCGGCATTCGGAAGAAACTGCGATACAAGCAACTTCTCCACACTTTTCCTTGAAGAAAGGAAAAAGAGCAGCGCAAGCAATGATTTGACCTTCTCTTTCCATTACCACAAATGAATCTATGGCCTTCAGTAGCTGCCCAAACAAAAAGCCACATCATTAAGCACAAGTATATTTTGAGTCGGGTTAAAAAAGAGCATTTCAGACCTCTTCATCACTCCTGCGAACCAAATTGCCAGACTCTTCTAAAGGTTGTATGATTTGCCTGATTCCGGCTAGATCTGTTACCTTAGCCATCCTAGCCCCTTCATACAGATCACTAAATAACAAGCAGAGTTTAAGTCAGCGAATTGAACACAACAAAGCATAATGGCTTACTAGATCTTGCCACAGCATTTCATAAACTAACAAATGTAAGCCACATGAAGATACTCTGGATCCCTAGTCCTTGGAAAAAGGATATCAGAACAAATATCCCTCCAGTTGTGAAATGTTATGAAGCTGATTGGTGAAGTGCTTAATGCATGACCCGGTTTTCCAAAAAAAATGTGTTAATAGGAGGCCCTAATGTATCAGTGAATTCAAATAAAATCTAACTGTAACTTTACTAAAAACCTAGTTCCATATAACATTCATTTTAGGTGTAACCCTGCATCCATTGCAGAACCCAATAAATCATCCAAACAAGCTATCAGAAAAGTTAACCGACAAGGGAATTAACTATATTTAGTACAAAATGCCTTTCAGTCAATGACTACTTTCGCATAAGGTTAACCGACAAGTTTATTGCAAAGATTAAATACCTGGCCACCATTGTCCCCATTCCATCTCGTTTGAATAATTCCAATAATAAGACTCCACCTATAGTGCCATCTAACAAATGAACTCTTTGTACACCACCCTGACAATGCAGCAGTAATGGAATCAGCTTGTTGTTTTAGTTTTTATTTTTAGGAAGGCATCCAAATATACTAAGCTGGCAACAAAATATGGGAACTTACTCTGCAGACAAAAGCTGCAGCAGCCAACTCTGAAAGGTAACCATTTAGTCGACTTAGCCGCTCCTGACCTCCAATAGCAAAGCCCTGCTCTCCAGTTAGTCCATTGCCGTTATCAAAACCAACACCATTCTGAAAGGCTGGATTATGAGCAACATTAAGAGCCTGCCCATTATGCAAAGAGTGGACAGCTGCAATATCATTATGTCCAACGCAAGCGAGATCTTCTTCAGCAAAAGCTTTCACATATTTAGCTGCTATTTCACTTTGCTGGGATCGCTGACGGATTAACTTATCTGCTTCTTGTAGAGGCAAGAAATTAATAAGGCATCCATTCTCATCCAAGATCGGGCCATCTATGATGCAAATAAGCTTATCCGCTCCAATAACTATTGCACAAGCTGTAGCGACTTCATATGTGCTGAAATTTAGGAAAACATTAAAAAATGGTTTTTGATCACTGAAAGTTATAACAGAGAGAGCATATGCAAACATATGTTTTAGTTGAATTATAACTAGCTTAGAGAATATATTCAAAGAATACAAGGACTACTCAGGTTGAGAATGTATATTCAACCCCACAAGAGATTTTCTGGAGTTAAGTTTTTTCTGTTTTAATCCTTATGCATTGACATCCTGCTAATCCTACAAAGTCGCTGACTGAGACACCAAACTAAATGATCCCTCCGTATATGAGAAAATCAACTTGGGTAAAATTAAATGAAGATTAAAAAAAAAGTAAAAGTGGAAAAATTTTGGTTCTCTCTCTGATGGCCTGCCTAATAAATAACAGCTACTTAAAAAATTGCAGAAGATGATTTCCAATCAACCAGGAAAAAGAAAAGACTGCTTTAAAGTGAAAATAATAGTTTTTCGCTTCATCACATAATAGATAAGAGCATACTGCAACCAAATGCCATCAAAAGTTACACTGCGTACTTGCAATTTAACACTTCTCCAGAGCTAGAATAACCCAAGTTGCTTAATATTACTATACAACCACCATCAAGCCTCTCACGCATGCGAGCAACATCTACTTTCTTTACTTCACCTGTTGCTCCATAGTCAACACCTTCAACAACTCCTCTTCTCTGCAAAAGGGTTTAACAAGATTCACAGAGGCAAAAATATAAAAAGTCTAACGAAGAGGACATTAACAGAAACATGCTTTCCCAAGCCACCCATCTTTTTATATGTTATATTACTCCAACTCTTCTTTTTTCCTAATGTATCCATGTTCCATACCCCTTTCCAATGTATGCTTTGGATATAGGTATAGGCCATGGTGCTCTAAGAATTCTTCAAATACATGAAAATATGAAGAATTTTTTTAACAAACTATTGTTGGACACATACCCATGTCCAACACATACATCTTAGTCCGAATAACTGAATAAGGTAGACTACATGTACATACACATAAATGTAAAAGAAGAGAGTAATATCGGTGCACATAAAAGCATATGCCAAAACCAAGCATTTTATTCTCAAAACATGAACATTCTAACCTTGGCTGCAAGGAAGTTGCCACTAGCAACACTAACACCAACATCATGCAAACGACTACTATCACCATGTCGTCGAATATTAGATATGGAGGGTCCAGGAGAAAGTTTTGCTTCCATCATTAGACGAATCGCTCCAGCTGCTTCCGTTGCAGCAGCTAGCGATTCAGAGTCCGTTATTCTGTATCTATCATTATACTTTGGTTCATGTCCTGCAAATGTCATAACCGTATTTTAAGTCACTATGAATCTATCAAAGGTAAACAGAAAATTCAATCGTAGTTAAAGATAAAGACTGAAGTATACAGCTAAAACATGTATAATCATAGTTAGAATGAAATGAAGGTTCAAATTTAGGATAAAGCTTCCAAATTGCTTAGATTATAAAAATAAAGGCATAAAATATTAAATATATGACATAAGTTTCGACAAAAAGCTCAATCATAATTAAAAGTAAGATAAAGAATGAATTATTCGACTAAAACAAGTTCCACCATAATTAGACAAACATGAAGGATCAAGTTTTTGCCAAAGCTTTCAAATTGCTTAACACTAGGACATAAGATAAAAGTTTCAACAAAAGGTTCAATAATAGTTAGATGAAGATTGAATCATCCAACTAAAACATGTTCAATCATAATTACACAAAAATGAAGGTTCAAATTTTGGCGAAAAGCTGCTTAGCCTTAGATTATAGTAATAAAGACGAATAATAATAAAATATACTATAAAAATTTAAAGAAACAAAGTGAAACAATCAGAACCCAACCTCTTTCAGTCAAAAGCTTGTCGATTTGCACATGAGTTCCCGGAACAAGAACAAATTTGATCCCTAAGTGATGCAAAAACGCAATATCCTACAAATTAAAAGGGAAAAAGTAAAAGAGAAAAACTTGATCATAGAAAAAGAAAGAAGAATTATATAAAATTTGTTATTGCCTTTAAAATGACATCCAAATAGGGGGAGACAACGATTTCGCTGGAAATAATAACAACGAAAGTGCCGCCACGGTGGGCCCAGAGGTAGGGCCAAGCCTCCCGGAACCACCGTACGAACTGCTTGTCGTCGACGGAGTAGTTAGTCTCCTCCACGCTATGTTCCTCGTTAATCACATTGCGCTTAACCGAATCAACTCGCTTGGAGCCGGGTTCGGGTTTAAGAGAGCCAGTCCGGAACTTCAATCCGGTTATTGGATTTACGAATCCGGTCTGGAAGCTGCGATGAGTCGAAACGAGTTCGGTTCGAGCGGTGGAGATGAGAGTGACGCGAGTAGAAGCGGCCATCTTCGGCGGCACTGAAGTCTTTGGGCTTAATACTTCCTGTGAAAAATGGTAACACAATTTAGAAATTAGAAGAGAATGGTGATGATGACACGTGGCAGTGAGAGGCAACGAGGACGGGAGTTGTTAAACAAACGCCTACGGAATAGTGCTCAACTGGTGGCTTCTAGCCTTCTATCAGATTACCAAATTTTAATTATTATTTTTAGGTTAATTTACACTGTATGTCATCAAATTTTGAAGTTTTTATATTATTAGATATTTTAATATTAAATTTTAAATTAGGCTTCAATCCAAAGATTCCATCATTAACCTTCAAAATATATTAATTTAAATCTTATTTTTCTATAAATCATGATGTAAAAGCTAATTTTATTTTTATGATGACGTGATTAAAATGATATTATTTTAATATGTTATATTAATATTTAAAATAACGTTATTTTGAAAGATTATTTAATTTTTATTATTATTATTTTCTTTCTCTTAAGAGATAATTTTTATGTTTAATAAATAATTTTTTATTTTTATTTTTCAGTGTCATTGTATTTTTTAATTTTCATATATGGGCTGTCTTCGTTAAATAGATTTATCCATTTTATGATAAAATCTGGCATGACTATTTAAACCAGTAGAAATTGAAACATAACATTTTTTATAAAAAAAAATAATTTTCTATATATGAAAGAAATAATAGCAAGCATAATCTTCAAGGTTTTATTGATTTTAAGAATTATCTATTTAATTGAAGAAATTGCTTTATAATTATTCAGTTGTCATAATTTTTCACTCAATCGATTTTTTTCCCGTGTTTTCTCTTAATTCTCTTCATGATTCTTACATATTCTCATTATTATTTTTATTTTCCAAACATAAATTATCGGAAATATTTTATTTAATTCAAAAAAAATCTAAAAAAACCCTAAAATTGTTGATTTTTCATTTTACTAAAAAAAGGAATTTGATTGATACATCATTTTAATAAGAGGAAATCAATTTTCAAGATAATAAAATGATTTATTAACTTCTTTTCAAGTTATTTAAAAATAAGACTTTCATAAATATTTTTAAAAACCTGTGTTATCTTCGATTTTGAGTTTTCTTAAGACAGTTTTAATGGTGATTTGGTTATATAACATCATTTGACGAAGTGAAATAGAATTAAATATCTTCATCCACTATTTACAAAAACAATACATATCAATTAATGTCCAAATCACACAACATCCATCCTTATCCTCTCTTTGTTTTTTATGTTATATCCATTCTTATATTCAATTGCGATATATGATAAAGGGAAATTTTGGTTGCCTACATGCGGTTGTATGTTTTATTTCATTTTGGCTTATTCCACAATTTAACCTCCCAAATATACTAGTTTTTCGATTGCACTTTAATTTTTTTCCGTTTTCACTCTTAATGTATGTTCATTCTTCTTCTTTATAATTTGAAATAGTTTGAACCAATGAAAACACAACGTGTGACACAAGTTGATTGATCAAAATTGTTTCAGGGCATAAAGTAAAATAACTATTGTAGGATTAAGAGTTTGATTCTGCAAACAAATTAATACGAATTCAATGCCTGCAAAGCAAAAAACAATCAAAATAAAATTACTCTAGGGGCCATTAACAAGATCACATAGCATCACAAGGTATTCAACTCAACTCAACAGAACTATCAATCGTGCATGGTATCGACATTATCATCTTCTCCACCGTCAACCATCGATGCTTCATTGAACATGTACTCTTTCTGGTACTCCATCAAGTACTGCGTTGATCTCCTTACGTCAAGAAATAGGCTGTAGACTCGAGTGACATCCTGTACCTCCACGGTCTTGGCTTTCCGCTTCTGACTATTTAATGCAGCAGCAGTAATCAGATGGATAGCATATCTCAAGGATGTCTCATGCCCGATTTTTGTCAATAGTTGCTTTGCATCCTCAGCCATCTCTACATCTTCCTCTTGGGATCTGATGTCTAGAATCTTGCGAATTTCATCCTCGGAATAAGGTTGTGTTGTGATGATTAGTAGTCTATCGAGAAGATCAAGTGGAATTCCATGTGGGGATTTGTAGTTTGTGCCTCGGATTGCAGTTATTCCTCTGTTTGTAGCAACAACTAATATAGGGGCCATCTCATTCTCAAGAGCACGGTTCAGGAACGAAAAGCACTCGATATCAAGCATATGCACCTCATCAATAAAGAGAACACCGGGCACAATCTCTGCCTTGCCTTCCTCCCTCCACTCTGCAACCTTTGTGTCAATTTGTTCTCTCACCTCCGCACGAATTTCCCCGGTATCACCAGTAAAAAGAGCAAGAAATCCCTGTGTTCTGAAACAGAAACATAATAAGACATGAGATTATATAAACTCCGAGTAGATGCATATAGTATATCATATAAGGCTTCTTCATGTGAAGAACCTCCTAGAAAGTGGACCGGAAAAGATAATTACCGATAGAAAAGTTGCACGGGATATACAGGCATTGAACTTAGTATCGAGTTTACTAGGAAGAAATTTCAAGCTAGTGAGATATATTAAAACAAGTAACAACGTTCATATCATACTGATTCAACCTGATTAGCCAAAAGATTGACATGCACAAATTATTCCCTTATAAAGTAATGCTACAACCAAATAAGTTCGATTGACTGACAGTATAAGGATGCCACATAACTAGGGTTCATAAGCATTGGTGCGACCATAGAATCAACAACTTACAGGAGATCCGCCTTATGAGCGATTCAAACCTTCTTCATCCCTCTTAACTTGCAGAATCTCAGTTCTCAATATCATTATCAATATAACAGGTTCCTCTAAAATTGTACAACAAATCCACCTTATTCGACAATTCTTCCTAAGTGCAGAAAGCCCTTTCATCCAAGCATACATTTTGATCATATACTTGTGTTTTTACTTTCAGCTGTAAAATATAAGTAGCAACTGAAGGAACCAAACTAAGTCTAAATCTGTTTTACTTGGAATCGTCATATACTTGTGCTCCATAATTGCTGAGCTTTTAGCTAATTTCAAAACAATTACAGATAAACTGTTAAACATCCACTGCCTATATCAATTACAGAAAAAATTTAGACCAGAGATATCGTACTAGATACGGCAAGAATAGCAGTAATTGGAAAGCGAGAATGAAGTTACCTAGCCAAACTCCAATTTACCTGCTATTAATGACATCAATTTCATGAAGTGTAACACAATGAACAACCTCTTTTCTCTTCTGCAACTCTCCATCTGGACATTGTATGAACTTAGTTTGCGGTCCCATTGCATCGTAATCCCTTGACCTCGAAAACGACCTCCCAAGCTTAGTTATTTTCCCCGAAGCTTTGTCGATGGCTATCACATCCCCACTCTGCACTTTCTCTTTCCCCAATGCCTCGATCATCTTCAGACCGAGGTCATAAACAGTCTCCATATCCGTCGTTTTGAGAGTCAATTTCCCCGTTTTCGAAGCCATCCCGGAAGCTGCCGGGCGGTCAATTTGGATCTCGACGACTTCGCCTTCAATTACTTCCGTTTCTTCCTTGATTCTTACCCCAATGGACTTCCGAAACGCTTGCATTAACGCTTCGGTTTTCGACATTTCCAGGGAGAAGATTTCACTGGCGGAGAGCATGGAAAATGGGGTTTCAAGGCCTAAGGACTTGGCCATGCCCATGGCGATTGCGGTCTTGCCGCTTCCCGGTTGACCGGCCAATAAGATAGCTCGGCCGGCTATTTTACCGTCCTTGATCATTTGGAGAATGACACCGGCAGCTTTACGGGCTTGGGTTTGACCCACCATACCTTCGGAAACGCCGCGGGGCTCCAGAGAAGAGTCGAGACCCAGGCCCCGGATGTGAGAGTGAGCACCTATTCGTTCGATTCGGGTCAAGTCTCGACTCTCGGATAGTTTTAGCTCCAACATCGGTAGAATGAGGAACGACCGGAAGTGGTGTAGGGTTTAGGGTTTTGTCACTGCTATTTGTGAACAAAATTGAAAATTGTAGCGAAGCAATCTAGAGGCAACACTTCGTTAAAGAAAAAAAAAGTATTCCCCTGAGTAGGGTAAAACTGTAATTTAGCTGTTAATAGTTTTGGGCTTACTGAACCATTGCCTGTAATTCTCCCCATTGGATCGCCCTTAACTATCCAAGTCGTTTATTACAAATTTTAAGGTTTCATGTTAAAAAAAATGATTGTTATTCTTAGATATTTTAAATTCGAACATAAAAATTATAGGATATTTTAGTATTCATTATCAAATAATTGATAATATTTAGAATACATATTACCACTTGTAATCACTTTAAATTAAAAAAAATACACAAAATGAGATAAAATAAACATTTTTATTATCAGACCAATTAAAAAGATCTATATTCAAGTCATTTAATGTATAAATTCAGCACGAACCAACTTATCTTAGTGATTAAAGGAATTGTTGTTGTTTCGATAAGTCAAGAGTTTGAGCACCAGAAATTGCAGGACGATTGAATGTTTATTGTCAAATGATTGAAAGTACTTAGAACATATATTACTTTGTAATCACATTTTATAATACAGTGTCTTTTTATAATATTTTTAAGAGAAAATCGTCTCAGTGACCAAAAATGTCTTATAATATACGATTTTAACCAACTTTTTTTGGATTTGCCAAAATGACCAACAAAATCGCAATGCGAAATAAAAATCGCAACGCGATCTCCAGAATCGCAAATCAGTTCCCAGAATCGCAATGTGATAGTACAAATTCGCATTGCGATTTTCCAGAATCGCAACGCGAATATGAAAATCGCAACACGAACATATAAATCGCAACGCGATTCTGACTATCACAACGAGTATCCGTAAAATCGCAACGCGTATTCGTAAATCGCAACGACAATACGTAAAATCGCAACGCGTATCCGTAAATCGCAACGAGAATACGTAAATCGCAACGCGTATCTGTAAATTGCAACGAGAATACGTAAATCGCAATGCGTATTCGTAAATCGCAACGACAATACGTAAAATCGCAACGCGTATCCGTAAATCGCAACGTGATTTTTAAAGCGCCATTAGAATCGCTGTGCGTATTTTATTTTCAAATTCCAAACACGAATATTAATTATCGGAACACTGAACCGTCCACAGTATATCCCGTAATCGCAACTCATAACCTAAAACCTAAAATCACAACTCAGTCTCATCTCCATCTCTCACTCTCTACGGCGAAATCCGTCCCCATCTCCGGCGAAATCCCTCACAACCATTCACGGTCAGAAATCCCTCACAATCATTCAGAAATGGAAAATCAACCTCCGAGGGTTAGTTTTTTTAATTATTTTTATTTTGAAATTTTTGCATTATTTTAGGTTTTTCATATTGAAATTGATGATAAGTTTAATGGTAATTTCAATAATAGATTAACCATTTCACTTAGATTTCTTATTAAATTCATTCGATTGCTGCCAATACTGCTAAACTGTTTAGTCTTTAACCCTGTGAAGTTAGTATTTGTCTTTGTTTTGTCTTTTAGTTGAAGTAATGCAATCCATTAAAGTTTCAATTTGCAGAAGAATAATAGTTTCTAAACTTAAAATCGCAACATGAAAATGAAAATCGCAACACGATTTTGTAAAATAAATAATACTTAGTAAAATATATGATAAGTTACGAATTTAAAGAAATAATACATGCATGGTTTCTTTTCTTGTAGTACCACTGTTGAATAGAGGCTCGAAAAAATTCCATTAACATAGTAATGGGTAATTTCCGGGAATGACGACTTAGAGCGTTGATTGATTCTGCACTATTAGACGTCATGAAACCATATCTTGCTCCAAGTTGATGTACTCTTGACCATCTTTCAAACCCGACATCTTCTAGTGTTTAAGCACACTGAGGCAAAACACGTCTTAAACAGTTTATATGCTTATTAAAATCCACTTCCCGACAAGCTTTTATAGCCTTCCAATATGTCCATTTGTGATTTTTTATACCAGCAGACCTTAATTTTAGATTTCTATACAAATGAACACCACAAAGTCCATGAAAAGCATATGGGAAACACCTTCTAACAGCATTGTCAATTGAGTTTGCCCTATCGGATATGATTGTCAGATTGCTAATAGGACCTATACAATCCCTAAGATGCCCCATAAACCATGTCCATGAATCAGAGGTTTCAGATTTGCCAACCCCGTAAGCTATTGGCAATATCCCATTGTTAGCATCCATGGCTACTGCTAATAAGTTTACTCCAAGGTATCGACCTTTTAAATGTGCTCCGTCAACTATAATAACTTGGCGCATGCAATTAATAAACGAACAATATACAAAATCATATACACAAGAAATATAATCATTTAAATGTGAAATGCATGTAACTAACAAAAATGAGTCAACAAAATTATATTGATTTACTAACAGCAGCACCAATGGCGATAAACAGCAACTCAAAGCTTCCATCTCTATCTGTTTTGATATGAGTTACCGACCTAGGATTTTTCAATCATACGCCACATACAGTTTTTGTCAATCATACACCTTGTTTAGAAACGATCTTTACTTGATTTGTTAACTTTTAGTGATAGCCATTTTCCACACATTTCGTATACAAAGCTATCTTCAAGTCTTCCTTTGTATCAAAACAATCATCTTTCTTGATACGAATAATTTTGTGTAACAATCAACTGCTATCTTTACCAACTCTTATTCCGGTATCTGAAGTAATTCTGTCATATTCCAGTTATACTCCCGTGGTATTTTCTTCGGGGACTTTTCTTTGGGGATTTCTTATTCTTCTTTTTCTTCTTCAGTGTTATATGAATTACAGAATGGATGTTCAACATGTTCATTTACAGTCGTAACTTCCTCCTCATTATCATCAACAACATCTTCCTCGGCAACGGCTGTTTCATCATCAAAATTCGGGTATTGACCAATATCAAAATCATTACACGCAGGGTCTGTTTCTTCTTCTAAAAAATCATCAAAATCCGAGTATTGACCAAGATCAAAGTCCGGGTATTGACCAAGATCAAATTTCGAATACTGACTAGTACTCACAATTTTTTCTGTTGGCTCATCATCGTCTAACTGGTCAATACGAAAACCGGAATTTGGTGCTGAAAGTTGATTGAGATTTGGATTAGGGAAAGGTTGTGGGTTTTGAGATTGTGTTTGGTATTGGAAATGTGGTGAAACAATATTTGCTTGGTGATGAAATTGTGGTGGAACCATTAAATTTTGAGCACCATAAACTGGGGTTGAAAAACTTAGTTGATTACCACCCGCTACTGATCCAACTCCACTACTTCTAGGTTCAACAACATACAATGTAACATCATCACTTGAAACACTAATGTAAGCAATGAATCGTTCAATATCTTCATTGTCGGTTAACAAATAAACTTTACCATTTCTCTGATAAGATAGCCTAAATCCACTTAGGGGCTCTAAATTCAATTTATTTACAACACGTAACATTAGAGTTTCATAAGTTAACTTTTTTAATGACAGTTTTAGTTGAAGATTCATGGGTAAAGGCATATATTGTAAAACACCATGAACATTCTCCCATGACCCTCCAAAACACAAATCTATCCAAACATGATCAACATTAGATGATTTCATTATTGTAAATTAATTTACTAAACAAACGAGCTGCGAAACTAAAACATGTTGCCGGATGGGGAATGATGTCGTTGGATATAGGAACGGATGTCGCCAGAGAGAGTGATAGATGGAGATGGAATGAGTTGCGATTTAGGGATTTAGGTTATGAGTTGTTGCTGCTGCGTAGTTATATACCCAAAACATTTGTGTTGCGAAATTAAAACCTGTTGCGAATTCAGAAATCGAGTTGCGAATTTGGAAACTGATTTGCGATACCGGAGATCGCGTTGCGAATTATCGATCGCGTTGCGAATTATCGATCGCGTTGCGATTTATGGATACGCGTTGCGATTTTACGTATTGTCGTTGCGATTTACGGATACGCATTGCGATTTACGTATTCTCGTTGCGATTTACATATACGCGTTGCGATTTACGTATTCTCGTTGCAATTTACGGATACGCGTTGCGATTTTACGTATTGTCGTTGCGATTTACGGATACGCATTGCGATTTTACGGATACTCGTTGCGATAGTCAGAATCACGTTGCGATTTATATGTTCGCGTTGCGATTTTCATATTCGCATTGCAATTATGGAAAATCGCAATGCAAATTTGTACTATCGCATTGCGATTCTTCATAATCGCGTTGCGATTCTGGGAACTGATTTGCGATTCTGGAGAACGCATTGCGATTTTTATTTCGCATTGCGATTTTGTTGGTCATTTGGGCAAATCCAAAAAAAATTGATTAAAATCGTATATTATAAGTCATTTTTTGTCACTGAGGCGATTTTCTCTATTTTTAATAATTTATAATTCACACATATCCTCTCAACATACTACTCAAACTGAGAATTTTTAAAAATAACAACACTAAGTTCTTTAATGTGCTATTAGTGCATGAGTTTCACGCACCATCAATAGACATAATTCATGAGGGAAATTAAAATTATTAACGATTCATATCTAAGTTATCCTTAAATTTGTTTAAACGTAATTAAGAATAATTATCAGTATTTAATATTCCATAGGTGATTTTTCACTATTCCATTTTTTACTTTCCCCACCCCAGCAAATATTCAACTTGCTGAACACAAAAGCTCGTGTTTGATCATCATTCTCAATTTCTCATTCATTTAAGATAAAGTTTAAAATTAGAGATATTTACGGAGATCATTAAAAAAAACTTTAATATTTTGATGCCAAAACAATATTCTATAATAATTATGTTTAATAAATTTTAAAAATATAACGCTTTGTGTTTGGAGATAATTTTTTCACAACGTTCGACTATGATTCGCAATATTCGGTGAACTTTCAGTTGCTTAATCTTCTGTTGTGATTTATTTACCGATGCAGTAA